CGCGTTGCCTCCTGTTCAATCACAAGATTGGAGACTGTGATCCAGTTGAAAGGACCTGTAGACAGTGGATCAGCTCTCTTGGTATGTCTGACCAGAAGTGTGTCAAGAGGCCCAAGTTTTCATTGCTGGGCACTGATGACTCCTGCAGACCAGGAAAAAGTTCTCCTTCCCGACGGACCAGGAGACACATATTGCCAATGACCTACAAAGGTGCATATTACCTGAGCAACACATCCCAATGTCCCAACGTCTCTGCCTCTCACTGGCACTGATAGAAAGTTTTCATTCTACATGCATAAAGATGACAATACATCATCAAAAAGTATCTGTGAGGCAAAGTTCTTTATTTGCCAGTACCACGTTGAAAATACAACTGTGCATGTGCGCATTCCCATCATTATGTTGCAACGTCCACTTTTTTTTTGAACTGTTGATTAAAAGTTGGAAAAGTTACTGCTTTAAATTGAAGAACGTGACGAAGAAGGCATTTGCAGTTTTCATAGAATTGTAGAATCCCTACAGTGTGGAAAGAGGCCATTCGGCCCGTGGAGTCCACACTGACTTTCTGAAGAACATCCCACTGTCTACCCTATCACCCTCCATTTCATACGGCTATTCCACCTAGTCTGCACAATCCTGGACACTACAGGCAATTTAACATGGCCAATCCACCCTACCTATATATCTTTGGACTGTGAGAGAAAAGTGGAGCACCCAGAGGAAATCCACACAAACATGGGGAGAACATGCAGACTTCACAAAAACAGTTGCCCGAGGGTGGAATCGAAGCCAGGCCCCTGGCACTGTGAGGCAGTAATGCTAACCACTGAACCACCATGCCTGAACTAATTCTGTATCCCACTGCAAATTGTATATTCAATGTTGCCTTCATGGAATGGTGGAGGAGAAGTCCACAGAAAGCAGTACTACCACCATCAGCCTGTGCATTTATGTTCAGGGCAGTTCTGCCCATAGACAGTCTTTTGTTTGACTTTTCAGATGACATTATTGTTGTCAGCTCAGGAGGGTTCTGCATCATAACAATCACTTGATTGGTTCCTGGCCAGGTGACTACAACCTTGTGAGTAGACAATACAGCAGGAACATTCAACTTTTGATGAGAAAGCATCAATCTGTTTCTTTGCCCCTTCAGTGTAGGTAAGTAAAAGAAAATCCTTAGCAGCTATTTATCTCCCTCACCTCTCTGCAAATCCCCCGCAAAAAGGAAAAAGGGAAAATCACCTTCAGAGATTCTGAAAAGGTGAATGAAAGACTGAGAATTGGTGTACACCCAAATACATGTCATCAGCAAAGTGTCAGAGATAAACCAAGGGAATCGAAAAGAACCATAAGAAAACAACTCATTGTTGTCCATGATCTGAGCTACTGCTATCAAAATGTGTTTCCTTGATTTTTTTTGTCTACCCTTAACATTCATGTCTGTCCCCGTGTGTAAATGAAAATTTTTAAAAGGAGTAAAATTTAAATTATATAGTCACAGAATAGCAATTTGACTTGACTACCTTTTGTCATCAGTTTAAAACAATCTGATTACAATAACCAGTTAATTTCTTGTTAATGCAAAAAATGTTGGAGTTCATATTTTTTCAACTTGACTTAGATAGCGAGGCAGATTTGAGGAATTCAATGGTTTGACCAAATTTTCACATTTGAAATGGCTCCGGGAATAATTGGTCTCACTGCACTCCAGTGAGTTGTGACAATGTAGGTATTCGCATCTGAACGTCATCACATACAAGTGTTCTTGGGCTCCTGGACACAGTGCAAAGTTCACATGTTGCTGGTGAGTTCATAGTTTTTGATATTTAAATGAGTCTGCGTACAAATATATATCTGCAGGTTACAAATGCATACACAAGCATATTAATTAACACACATGCGCATTTAGGCAAAAATGCCCTTGCTCCCACAGCGAAAAATCTGCCTTTTACTTATTATTCTGTAACACTAATTGGACCCAACCTGGGGTAAACAATTTTCAGGCATACCTTGCCTAATCACAGTGTGTGAAGTACTGTTCATTGTCAGCTCTAGTTACGGTTACTGATTTGTATCCCAACCTCCCGCCCAAAGGCAACATGTGCAAAGCTTTCCCAAGTCAGCATTAACACTGAGTGCTAAGCTTCCTTATTTGTTGCAATCAATGGGATTGCTGCTCTGAATGCAAGGGCTGAAGATACTGAGCTATCAAGAGAAGGGAACATTTGCCCCATCTCTAGTGAACTCTTTACTCTCAATATTGACCTAAACTCAAACTTTCTGATGAAGGATCTCGGCCCGAAACGTCAGCCTTTCTGCTCCTATGATGCTGCTTGGCCTGCTGTGTTCATCCAGCTCTGCACCTTGTTGTCTCAGCTTTAAAATGCACCTTGGTTAGTGCAGTCAGGAATAGTCAGGTTCATAACCCTCACCTGAACCGCCTCCCCTCAGCTACCCCCACACAAAGGAAAACAAATAGACATGAATAAACAGTCATATATATATAAAGCAGAAGGAGAGTGATGTAAAATTACTTCAAAAATTTGATGCAGCTTCTGTGATGATTTGTGCCATTTTTGCTGCAGGCAGCTGCTTAGGTCATCATTGACTATCACATTATAGGCATTACAGCTGCACGTGTGGGCAGTGCTCTCTGTAGGAGTGCACTGTCAACATATTCAGCCAACAATTTCAAGAGAAGTGCACTGTAGAATGCGGTTGCATAATTAATGAGGTGAATAACAGAATACTGCATGAGAAAATTCACTGCAAGCCATGGTGGGCTGGGCACCATGAATCTCATTAGACCAAACACTTTAATTAAAAATAGGAAAATTCCAAACCTTAGAGTAGAGTTTGTTTTCAAAGAAAGACTGTACGCAGTTAAGTTGACAAAAAGAGGAGAGCCATGCCACATTTTGAAAAATATATCTTGATGATTGATTTTTTTTAAGAAACTCCTAACAAAATTTCAACTTGTTACATATTTTCATCCTTCTCAAATGACATACTGTGGAAAGACCCTGCCACAGAATCTCGGCTATCAAAAAAAGTAAGTATTTAGTTAGTATGTCCTAAAGATCCATCAAAAAGTATTAGAGGTCGGATAGAGAGCGCACTCAGTTCACAGAGATGTAATCTTATCGATAAAGCTTTGCAGGCAGTAAGCTTCAAGGTGAAAAACATTATAAACTGAATTTCCTCTGATTCAACTCATGGTTTGTGACATTGCTTGCAATAAATGATTTAGACTTATTATTAAGAAAGTAGATTTCACCTTTAAGGAAACTTGAGGAACTGTGGATGGAAATACATTGCTGCTGAAAATGTAATAATACACGACAAAACTATATTTGGCAATAAATAAATGGGAATTTATCATCTATCTTATTTAAAATTCAGAAATGTTAAAGGCATGTGATTCTCTTAGGTAGAATTCCATTATTTCTACAGTATTACAGATTTATGGAAATTTGAAATATTGAAAATATGCAATATATCAACAAATAGAATATATCCGTAAGATGTCTTCCTACTTTATGTATAACTCAACAGATTTTGCAAAGGATTTGAGCAATCATTCTGTGAGCTTTCATTTTGCAGCTGGCTTAAGTGGATTGAGAGTTAGTTACCAAGATAATTCTTTGCATACTGTGCCAATAATCCAAATACATACTACTGATTGAGCTTCTTGTTTTCGTCCCCAAATATAAAACATTATGTTTTCTTTAAGATAAATATTGTGCATATATTGAATTGGGTGATTTTTTTTCTTTCCTTACTGCTGGTTAATTTATTCCGAGTGGAGTTACCTTAACTGAATTAGATATTGCTCTTTTATTTTGCATTCTAATCATGATTGTGCTTGCAAATTATTTTGGTTACAAAATTTAGCCTATTACTATTTCCAATGATCTCTACATAGCTATATAATCAGATTGTACTTTCCTGCAATGAATCATTTTGCAAGTCAAAAATAAACACAATATACATGAGTCATCATTTAACAGTTGCTAGCAATGTGGCATAATCTTGAATTAATATAAGTATAAAGCCTAACTATGTTAGTCTGCAAAGACCATTCTGTCTTACATGGAATCATTCATCAACGACAGTAAGTTTTGGTCATTCATTCATATCTGAAAATGTTTATTATAATTTGTTCTTGATTTCCTGGAGCAAATGTCCTGTACAGAAACTTTCGAAATAGTACTTTAAGTACCCACTCTCTTACTCTTTTCTAAGTACAGTAAAATGCTTCTAATATAATTTTGTTTGGATGTATTAATTTGGCCATCCCTGCAAAATAGCCAAAGGTTTATTGCAGGAATTCTCAAAATGTGGGCTGCAGCCCCACTGGAGATAAAAGATGAGGAATTAGAGTCCTGAACTCTGAGGCGGCAACAGCATCTGTGATGGAAGCCTATAGGAAGCCTGGCTGTGAATAATAATCCAGGCCATAACTCAAACCAATGTCTCCTTGATTGACGCCAGATTCTGTAGGATCTTAAGACATATAGATATTAGCTTTTGATCTCTGCATGTTCATTGTATACAAATATGAACTCTATTAACACAATTAAACAGATACTCTGGTTTAACAATCATGGGATCGATTACAACACCCCTTTAAATTTGAGCAATGTTTGTGCCTGTGGCCAGTGCCTAATCCATTGCGTTCTGAGACCAACAGAGGGTCCAAAATGGTAAATGACTTTGTATTTTTGTGCTTATGTCCATGCTGTTTGTACTCCTACTCCAGTCAACAGTTCTCCCTACCCCTCTCCTCACCCCTAAAGTTTCACTATGGAATGGCACCAGGTGTGAAGTGTAAAAATAGGGGGTCAACAGGAAAAATAGGTTTGAGAAGCAGCATTTATTAGATGAGTATTGGTGTATAAAACTTTCTATTCATTTTTGTCATGTGGAATTATTTTAAGCATATTGACCTAAATTGTTCAATATTAAAATTGACACTAATTATAATGATTTGCTTTTAGTCACTGTGTACTGAAATTAAACAACGTCGACGTGGCATAATATCCGTATTACGATTATGCCAACGACTCGTCGATGACACAGATGCCAGCTGTTCAGAAGCTGATCGTCAGTCAATGCAACTTATTATTGTGAACTTGGAGAGAAGATGGGAAGCCATAATAATGCAAGCTGTCCAGTGGCAGAACAGACTGCAAAAACAACTAGGAAATGAAGAGGTAAGAATTTAGCACCTGCCATGTTTATGTAATAAAAGGATAGGAATGTGGGAAATTATAAAATTGAAAAGATACTGCAGTCCATTCAACTGATATACATAATCCTCCTTTGCTCAGCCTCTCAAATATGCATTCAATTCTCAATTAAACTTCTCTATTACCTATTTATACAACACTGTATAAAAGATACAATATTAAATCAAAAGAAATATAGAAATTCAAACATTCATTGTATAACCAAACTAAAGAAGGATCAGGGAAAATGTTTTTAAAAATTATCTTTCCTCCAATCCACGCCTGTCCCAGCTATATATCTTCAAGCAGCAGTATAGATGCCATCAGTAGTGCTCTTTGTTCAGTACGCAAGAAAGCTTGCCTTAGCAATACAGAATGACATGCTTCTTCAGCAGTCTTTCTCAGCCAGATAACTTGCCTGAAATAGTAAACTGGACTCCTACAGAAAGGCCCCACTTGTCAATAATAATCAAGACCATATTCAAATTTGGGTCTTCTCGTTCAAGGTTTGGTGTTGTAGTGCGTAGGATATCAAATTACTGAGATATTAGCTTTCGATCTCTGCAATGTTCATTGTATGCATACATGAAATATATCAATACAGGATCCTCACGTGTTGCATCTATTGAAGGCAAAATGTTTCTATTATAGAAACCAAGATTAAGTTTCTTTCTATGCAGTTTCCAGCTACATTTTCATCAATTAAGAACAGCTGAAATATTGTTACCATTTAATATCCTTCCAGAACCAGTGAATGAAGTGAGATTGTGTCAAATGAATGCTGGATGGAAACAATGCAGCATAGTCAAGTACATAACGTAAGAGAAGGAACTGTTAGGGAATGTCAGAAAAAAAAAGTTCATAAAAGACAGAAGAATTGCTAACAAGAGAAAATAACACAGATAAATCACAAGCCAAATGACCAAATGACGGACAGGTTGATGTTAGCAAACAACAACCAGCATCATGCTATAGAATAATACATACTTTTACAACCAAGTAGCAAATCAGGTAAGTATGGTATAAAGTTTAACAAGGCCTGATTTCTTATATAATAGATGATTACAGCCTTTGAGTGTTGGAGTATCTGAATTGTTTAACAGGCTGTAGTAAATATAGTTTATTTATACCTTTGTTTTTGGCACTGAGTTTAATAGAGCTACAGCAGATCAGGGGTAGAATTTAATGTAAACTTAAAAAACAAATTAATTTAATTCAATCAACTGCAAGAAGAAAGCCAATGGGGAAGATTGCCACTGTATGTTATTTGTTGTAAATGGCTTTACCACTACATAATGCATAAGATGAAAACCTTCCCAACAAGTTTCTGCTTTATGGGAGAACGAAATAATGCTGTATTTTTGAAGAATTTTGTTTTTGCAGAACATGTAACAATCTGGGTTTATAACTTTTAGAATTTCTCAACATTTTGAGAAAATTAATTGACGCAGGAACTACATTGCTTCTGACTACCAAAAAGTCTTGCAGTTCTATTTTTCTGTTTGGTGGAATCAGTCAGATATTCATTCCATTGTGATTTGAAATGCAATTGCCTCAAGGGGCTCACTCTGAGTTTAACTTCCTCTTGTTTGGGACTGTAGCTAATCGACAACTTCAGGTTAAATTTGCTGTTCCACTGTTCTTTTGGTAATATCTGCAAATAAAACATATCATGAAAACCTAGTGATAAGAATCTGCAAAAATATAAGAACCTGAAAATAAACTTGCCAATCCATCAGATATGGCAATTCATTCAGTTTATCAGGTACAATGTTAGATTATGATCTCGCTAAATCTAAAATCCTATTCATATCACTATTTTAATGGGGAGGTGATGGCCTAGTGGTATTATCGCTGGACTGTTAATCCAGAGACCCACTTAACATTCTGGGCACCCTGGTTTGAATCCCACTATGGTAGATGGTGGAATTTGAACTCAATAAATATCTGGAATTAAGAATCTAATTATGACCATGAAGCCATTGTTGATTGTTGGGAAAAATCCATCTGGTTCGCCTCGTGCTCCCACGAGGAGCTCGAACAGTTCATACACTTCACTAACACCTTCCACCCCAACCTTAA